ACATTTGAATATATAGTAGTCAAACTATACGTGAAATTGATATCTACTCAACATGGTTCGATTCATATTAACCAAAATGTACCATAGTTACATCATTGTAGGTATTAAACGCTAATTAAATGAAATAACCTATTCCATATCATCATACCCTGTTCTAAGTGAACACTATCATTGTCAGAGTCTATGTGGGGTCAAAGTAAGGGTACTGCAACTGTGAATTTTTATTAGTTCTCAAGTTCAATGACAAAGATACAAAATTTAAATATAAAATAGCAATTATTTATGTTAATATGTTTGCATACATGCAAACATATTAACATGCTACAACACGTCATCGACATATCACTTTTGAACGATTTGCACTCACCCATTCGTTGTTACATGCCACTCATGTGCACTTTCAAAGCTTATTTTTCATCTATTCTCTACTAAATACGGCCACAATTGTCTTAAATGGCAAACATTTGACCGGCGCAACCTTTGCGTCTACAACAGTCCTCATTTGATATTCCGAACAGATTTGCTGTCGGCCTTTGCTTTAAGTTATTCCGCGTTCTCATTTATTTTAGCGCACGAAAGTCCAAATGTGGGTTTGCATTACAAAATAAGATTCGACCATTGCCGGCGCAATCGCGTCGAGTATTTAATATACAGTTAGAATTAAAACCCATCGATTACCATATATCGGTAAAAAATACTACCGAGTAAGTAAAGAATTGATTCAAATATTTTACAAATTTTAACAAGGAACTTGAATGATTGTATACACAGTGCGTACAAACATCCTTTGGAAGAGAGGGTCGATAGTTGACTTTGAAAATTAGAATAACTACGTTAGATGTAAACGCTAGTGTTCAAACGCGCTTCTTGTTTTGACCCTTAACGCCGACATTAACACAATGATGAACTAAAACCTCAAATCACGACAAGTATACTAAGGATATGACAATTTGTACATATGGTCCTATAAATAATCATAACAAAAAAGTTTCCTTCAGTGAAGAATGTAAGTCATGAACGAGGACTAAATGCCAGATACTTTAAGCTCTCGAACAAGCACACGTCGCTATTATATCAAAGACAAAGAGATCGTTACGAAGGCGTTGCACTTATGTTATACGGCTATCAGTGTTCACAATCTTTGTACAAAAACATTCCGACCTCATCGCGGAGTAAGAGACAAGGGACGTCTATACGTAATACGAACTCGCAGCGTGATGTTGGTCATAGAGTCGTGATTCTTAGGAATAGCTCATTATATTACTAAGCTATTAAATGTTGCATTAAATTTTGATTGTTTTGCAACATTCGTTAACAGAACGACCTCAGAACGTTAGTGCTTTGCCACTGACTTTCTATTTCATCTTACAAAGCCGTGACGAGTTGTCCGACAATTTTCTCGCAACTAAGAACTTAATGGATAGATTTGGATATAAAAAAATCTTCATAGCATTAAAATGAAATGAAAATTGTTTGTTCAATTTAAATTTATATCTACTTATAAAGTTTTATTAGCATAGATTTAATGTTCACACAAGAATAACAAATTAGATCAACACATTTTAAATATCTAATCACAAGATGGACGGAATTGAATACGAAATTCACATTCTGAATTTAGCCGGGACAACTCGCGGCCGAGTGTTGCATAAATTATACAGCAGCAGTTTAATTTAAAATACTAAAACCGCAATGACCTAATTTTCCGGAATCGGTAGGCTCTAATTAGTGGACCACTATATACAAATATCGTCTTAATGACGTGGAAAATGAACCAAGTTCTCTATAGTATCGCTTTTAATACAGTCTTTTTACAGTTTTAGTATGTGTATGTAGGTTGGGGGAACAATGGCAGGGCGCGCAAGGCTGGCTGCGTTTCCAGGGTGAGTCGCGAGGGCGCGGCGGGGCGAGGGCGCGGCGGGGTGCGGGCGGGGGCGGGGGTGCGCTGGTCGCTCTCGCCGGCACAATTGTTACTCGCTAGTTTGCATGAGAATACAGAAAACTTTCCATGTGTGTCACCGTTCCGAATAAAATATTCTTTTCTTTCTCTCCGTCCGTTGTTCCTGTGCAACTGGTTAAAGTATTGTTAGCGAAGGAAACAATGCAAATACTTTATAACTCCCTACCTATATCAACAAATCTACACGAGTGCTAAGTGGAACGCGCTTTGAGCTCGCCTGCTTGATTTGTCACCTCAAAAGATCATCTGTCGAAAACATTGTTAGAACTTTGTTTTTAGTTTTTGGATTATTTGCATCTGTATTTTAAGATAATCGAGTACATGATATCTATGAATGACACAGAATATTTGTCACCTGTACGCTGCCTTTATAACAAGAATAGTAAATAGTGTGACTTGAATGAGTAATACTATGCGTACATGAACCTGCCTCATTAACACTTGACTTATTTGGTATGATTCACAAAACGAGCTATGTGAAGTTATACTCAACGTGTTAATATATAAACAATTAGACCAACGTTTTATAACAATTACAACAAAAACTCTTAATAAATATTCAATCTAAGGAACGAAATTGTTTTGATCGTTCTTCTGATCTCATTATAGAATATCGTATTATCTCTAAATCGATTTGGCATAGTTTCAACGCATTCCTATCCAGGAAAATATTTGCACTGGTTTTACCATTCGGATCTATCTATGTACGGCTTCCCACTTGGTGTTACGATTGACTGTAAGGATTTGTGTCATGAAGATTAGTTTAAATATATCTATTTGCTTACGCTGAAATAACTTAATAATCATTAATTATTTAATACCACAATTTGTATTTTTGTTTTTGAAATAACACAAAAATCACTGGACCGATTTGAAAAATTCTTTCACCATTAAAAAGCTACGTTATCAGCGAGTGACGTAGGCAAGATCTTTTATTATTTTTTAATTTCACGCGTTCGAAGTCGCGAGCAACAGCCAGGAATTTATAAAACTAGCCTATATCAAAACATTCTATCAATGCTTTTGCGACCCGTTATAAAATCATAAAGTTGTTCAACTACGAAATAAATTCTTTTGCCAGCATTTTTAATTACAACTTCAATGTTATTACAGAGCTCGTTCATTCTCTGTGCAAGTTAAATAGTTGGCAGTAATTAAGAATTATTTTCTAACTAGCGCCTGACCACATTTATCTGTAAATGGACTTTTCAATTGCATGCAATGATTACTTCCCCCGGGTGAAAAGGTGCTTTCATTCGCCAATGACCGACTTGACGCAGAAATAAATTTTCTCGATAAAACAAGTTTGGTAAAATTAACTGTGTAGTTAACAAAGTGAAAATAAAATGAAAACTTAGTTATGAAGTAACAGATGAGGTTGACAGTAACTTTGAATTCTAAGTTTGCTTAGATCCTATAAAGTTGTACATGTAATATCTCTAATCATTAATATAATAATTTCTTTGTCTAAGCAACCAAAGTTTTAACAAATGCGTTTTCTCACATTTAAATACTTATAACTACAAAAATTTTATATGTTAATCGTATTTGAAAGTTCTTAAACATTATTTTTTTTTCTAGATACCTAACCTAACTGTTAATCTCAGTATTCAGGTTAATATTTTTGGAAATGTACCGAAACATTAATTTAGACAATAGACAAACAAAAATAACCTAGTTTGCTTATTGCCATTGTCACTAATAATAAATATTCATGAGAATTTAGTGAATAAATTTCGAGCAACCTTAAAATGTCCTGTTATGTTTATCGACGAATTAGTTGTAAAGAAGTCTACAGGTTAAGTAATAACGGATACCGGAGTTCGTGTCTGGGACAACTGATTAGAAAATAACGTAACTGTAAATTCCATTCAAGTTTTAATAATGTCGCATTTTTATAATTCTTTTGGACGTACCAATAATTTATACTATCTCTATGAAATTTCATTAATATAAACATATTTTTCAGTACAATGATTTCTGTTTCCACAAACAATAGAGACTCAATTATTCGCCTCGTAAGCAAAGCAAAGTCCACTCAGCGCGGCGCGGCGCGGCGCGACGGCGGCGGCGGCGAGGCAGCGCTATTGTTATAATTAAATCAATTGCACAACTGTCTAATTAGGCATTTTTGAATTATGCATTTTAAGAAAACAAACTCAAGACTTGAGGATATTCAGGTTATAAACTATGTGATTTATTGTAACGTAAAACTTATATGAATAATAATTTTAACCGACACATTGGCCTCAAAAAATATCTATTTGTATACTTTATTTATTTTTACTTTCAATATATTAGTATTTATTGGTCTGTAGATATTATTATTTAATTACTCATGAAAGAGGTTTAATGAACATTTTAACAGGTCGTTTAAGTTTGATAACAACTCCACAAATACAATTTTTATACTAATTCAAACATGAAACAAATAACTATAAAATGTGTCATAAACAACCCTATTAAGCATTTCGTCGTAAATTTTCATACTGTCACGTTACTACAATTTATATTTGGATGGAACAGTAAAATCCTCGGAGATAAAATATTTCAAAGCATAGTTTAGTTTAACAGAATGCGATGACAAAAGTGACTTATTTAATGTCTATTATCTTTATAACGAACGTGTCCAGTTGATGATGCCATTGTCCCGTGTACGCATTTAATGCTAAGAAATAAATCCATTGTTTCTTAATTGTTCATTCCAAAATCTAATAACATTATTGTTTGAAAATTTTGCTTACATTAGGCAGATTTAGAATTTGAATACGTATCATGCATATCCGATTACGTCTAAAGCCGCAAGAGTTAAAATTACATTTTAAAGTACTTAATTTCTTCAATTTTAATAAACGAGCACTAAAAACATTATAAATGAGGGCGAAGTGTCTTATATTCTGAGTCAATTTAAAACATGACCTTAATTTCGTGCAAAAACATAACATGGTTTAGTCTCCTCATTTCATAAAAATCTATATTTTATAAGAACAAAAGAATGTAATTAAGAAAGGTTTGTATTAAAATGTGTTGTATTACTCACGCGCTGTCGGTCACGTCGCCGGATTCATCCATTTCACCGATGGTATCCAGCGAGGCTCCAGAGCCGTCCTCACGAGTTTCCACCGGGGGCGGCGGCGGAGCTGTCGTAGGCCGCGTACACACTGGTGCTTCCTTTGAGTTTTCTTTAAACTGAGTCTTTGGAACAAAGTCAATAAGCCGTGGCAGAGCTTCTGGTGCTATATTTTCATCATACTTGTCATCTATCTTATTATTCATTTCGGCTTCGGATCGCTGCAGCCATGTTTCTATGCATGTCTTTTTAGTAGGTGTCAGTAATGGTTCGGGAACTGGCGGAGGCAATGTTTCTGGAAGCGGAATCGGTTTTCTTTTCTTTTCACTTGCAGATCGCTCAACCTTCGTGTTTCTAGGCATAGGTTTAGGTTTTTCTGCTGCGACATCTTGTTTCACCTCTGTTTGTTCTTTTTTATCTGGTTCTGCATTTTCTCCTTTTGGCAGATTGCAAGGTGCAATAGTATAATTGTTATTTTTGTCGTTTACCTGAATTTCCTTTTTAAATTGCATTTTAGTGTCCTCTTTTGTTTGAGTGTTTTTTAAACTTTTTTCTGATACAGTCAGCCCATTTGTGTTATTTTCTATCTTTTTAAATTCTTTTTTTAAATTAATTTCATCTTCTATAAATTTTCCATTGGTCATGTCTTTCAATATATTTGAATCAATATTTTCAATACAATTCAAAACTTTTTGTATATCAAATGTCTTAGGCTGCATTATTGGAGTTGACGGTATGCTATTTTCAACCGAACTTGCCATTGACCCCAACCTATCTACAACAGTCGAAATGGAACTACCTGTATCATCAGATTCTGCATCGGCCATAACCAAACACCGTTCCCACTCGTTTGAGAGTAAGTCAATATATACTTCTGCCTCAGCTGGCATTACTTTTCCATCGGACAATCTCCGAACTAAGCGTCTTACTTCATCCGGTGATCCTTTCTTGAAGTATGTTATGCCTTCCTTATTTTGTCGATGTATGTGACTATCAAATGATGACTTTCTTGATAGCTTAGTTACGTTAGAAATCACATGTTGACTTGTTATTAAACCTTCTTTATCATTAGAAGATTGCTTTTGGCCATCAATGTTAATTAGTGCATTTTGTTCACCGACTGTTTGTAGTGTTTGTTTGTCTTTAAAGGAGTTTTTCTTTCCTAGTTTTCTGGGTGGAACTGGAGGTGGTAAAGTAATTTGCATATTTATATCTGTATTTTGGCTCATAGTTAAAAGCTCCTCAACAGGGTCCATTTTACTTTTTTCATTTGGATCAAAATGTCGAACTAAAAGCTTTAAAGTTTCATCGGAATCCTTCAAACGTCTAACGCAGTCTATTCTTGTAAGATCGGACACAGAAACACCGTCGATTGCTAGTATCTCATCTCCGGGTATGAGTTTACCCCAAGGGGCACATGCATTAGCAGCGGGGCTATCTTCAGCACATGATTGTACAAGAAGTCTCCGGACTTTTTCGGCGGCAGCGGAACCTCCTTCGAATTTTAGACCGAGACCAAGTCGCGCCCCGCGCGGTCTCTGCACTACGACTTCAGCGGCGCCTGCCGCCGCACCCACTGACAGCACTGTAACAAAATCCGATTCTTTCACGGCAGGCTTACCCTCGCCCACCGGTACTATAGTGATGAATTCTTCAGCGGCTGCCCCTGCCTCCATGCCGCGAGCCGCGCGCCGCACGGTATCACTCACCGCAGTCAGCTTGCGATCTGGCAACAAAAAATATCATAAGCTTGCGTAACGAAAATGCACCGATGGGTAGTGTGTTGCGCCCGCGACGGAAGGCACGCGAGAACTGTGCGAGGCCTCTCACTTTAACCGTTGCGCTTTATACGAATGTTTCGAGATGAACCAAGATCGAAAACATTGATGACCGTTACGCTTTGTTATAGGTTAGATATGAACCCGTAATTTGGGATTACCTACTTACTGATATTATCACTTTATATAGCTATAAACTTTTATTATTTACTAAAGATACCACAAATTAAACAATAGATAAAAAGATACACCCTTTACCATTACTTACAATGTATACATAACTTAAGTTTTATTAGTTAATTTTGTAACAGCCATATTTTTAATCCAATAGACATCATATAAATGCTTATTCATTTGCCACTTACAATCATTCAGACTTTCATCGATCAATAGGAAAGTATAACGAGAGTTTTCGAGTACAAACGGGCTACAAACAGTCACATCATTGAGATCAAATGTGGGTTAGTGGTACCAGAGGCAGGCGCCGCGTCGTGGCGTAGCGTTCGCGGAGACCACTGCTCGGTCAACGGTCGTCAAGACATTAGCATAGCCTCCGGCTTAAGCCCGTTACTACCGGCACGCCTCCCGTTCCCAAGGGCTTGTCATTCCCACACTTTATCTTGCGTGCACGATTTGCTAAATTTATTTAAATGTGTTTCTCCAAGTGACGTAACAATAACGTTTGTTTACATTACGCAAGAAAGTTAAACCAAATTGATAACAATCGCAATTGAATAAAGTTAACAAAATCGTGATTTGTAGTAAAATACTGCACTAATTTAATTTTGGCAGGACTTCGTTATAATTTGGAAAAAAAAAACATAAATAATATCAACATTCTAATGACTTCGTGGAAGATTTATTATTATGGTACAACATTTAGATAATGTGAAAAGAAATCGTTAGCGGAGAAAACATTCGTACTTCGTGAGTGACCTCCTCGAGTGCATCTGACCGAAATGAGAGCGAACGTCAAATCTGTATTTCGCTTACTTGGACGACATCACCAAATAAGTAAAGAACGAATCTTTATACAGCATTGTTCCGCTATATCTTAAAATTAAATCTTTACGCCGTAACCTTCCAAATATATACAGGAAACGAATAATAAAACATCTCTTAAAATGGGTTAAACGAATAGGTCTTAAGAGTAAGTAGCGGTGGCTAACATTTCTTAAAAGGTCGGCCACGTAACAGAACTTTAAGTCTACTTTTTATTTTGTATTCTATTGATACTAATGACATCTACAGCTCACTCTTGATTAGGATATATAGACCCTCATTCTTTTTACATTTGAGTAATTTTGTAACTTAACGTGGGGTTCCAACGATCTCAAAGATCATGTGTCTCTTAATTACCAATAAACAAGTATGGTATTAAGTCGTCACTGTCAATTTAATATGATCCAGTTATATGAAATAACAATAGCAGTAGGTGAGGCTAATCCAGTGTACGCATTATTATTACGAAGAAACACGGCACTTACACAGTGAGTGAGCAACTGGGCGAACTGCAATATTACGTCGCTTTGCCGCACTATGCCTTTAAAAATAAATGTAATGCCTTATTTTGATCAAATCTAAACAAACTGTTCTACATTTACATAAAGTAAAGTAACTATTTACTGGAAAATAATAATAGCATTAGAGTGGTAATATAAAGTGAATTTGAACCATTCTTAATAGAGCATGTTTTATTTTTAAATCTAATCAATGATTAAAAAACAAAGACAATATACATGAAGAGTTTCTTAAGAATAAAGAATGCCCCCTATCACGATGAAGGCCATGGCGATCTTATCAACCCAATTTAATCAATGTTTGATAACAAAACCTTGATCAGGAACGTAGAAAGTAGTGATTATTTTTTATCTGCATAGCTCATAAACGTCGAATTCAAATGCTATATTTATATTGATACTGTACCGCTTTTACATTGATTTCTATAAATGGATAGGTTTTTAATGGCAATGACAGCTTTTGCTTCCTTTCAACTTAAACCCATCTGACAGTTAATTCTATCTGTATTATTAATTCTTATGCTCACTACCACCAATCGCGACCGTTAGCGCCAAAACTGGCTTAAGATACCATGTCTTGTAGCATATCCATTGATATAGGTCAGTGTTATTGTGTGAAAGAAAATGAACGGGATAAAAGTGTATTTAAACACCGAACGTTTTAAGGTAACTTTGCGATATACTTAGATGAAATAAAAAAAGTTTAATAGTTGTTGTGTTTGTTGTAAAAAATCAATTAAATTTGCATTGGGTGATACGATCAAAGTGCTCGACCCACATACGAGGAAGACGGAAGTGGGTTATGCACTTGTGAACGTGCCGAAATCGAATCACTATTGCTAAATAAACGACAGTAACTATGTTATTTCACGATACGCGACTTACAAAGTTCATAGATACCAATCGTTTATCCGCGTTTCGAGGAACTTATGAAATTTCAAACGTGATTGCCATAAACCGGACTTGGCAAAATGTAGGGATTTTTTGTTTGGTTGTTTCACAGTTGGAATGCGTTTGCGATTTTTATTTCGTAATCCGGATTTACTATTACTCAGAAAGTAAAAGAAAAGTTCAATAGGTATTTTACCATCTTTTATACTTGCCAGTTTTTTTTTACCTTGCCAGTAATTTATATCTGTTCAATTTAAACTATGCTTATATTTTCATATATAAGAGATGTTATCACACAACACTTTCACATATCAAAATTACCTGAAGGTATAAAATAATGAAAATTTTCGTTGCAAAGAAAGTGATACAACGATCGAGATTTCGCAGTAAACGTCTTATCGCATCTTGCATACGCAAATCGTGCTATCAATGAGTACTTATTGAAGCAGTCTCTTGATGACAACACAATCATATAAAAGTAAGTTTCCTTTCTACTGATTAGAGTTTAAAAAAAACCTACGAACTCCCTTCGTTAAAGTTGAAAAAAATCCTTTATATTTATGTTAACTTCTTTATTAATGTTAGAAATTACTCTACACAATCATCATGTTAACGAAGAAATGACAAATACTCAAGCACAAATACGACACTAATTTAAAATTTAAAAAAAAATTCTCAAAGGTCAATGACTTGAATGGCCGGATGTTGTAATGCCATTACTTCTCTAATATCAAAATACATCGATGTTTTATGATAGTTATAAAAATTGGCTCTGTATTTAATTTCACATACGTAAGTTTGTTAATAAATAAGATCTCGAATGTTTTTGTTATTCCGATAATATATAGCTATAGATAACATTTCCGTTGTAAAAGCTCTATTACAGAAACACCGAACAATGAAATTTGCCGAATTAATAAGCAAAGATATCCTAATATTTTTAATGCACATAAAAATCAATAGATTTATACAATACATGTTTAGTAATAGATTTATTTATATACAAACGACCTTCGACTTTGATTTGTTAAATGTCTACTTATTGTATACTTGTCTATTTTATTTCTATCGTGATTAATTTAAATTAATACAGACAGGAACAATGAGATTGTAAGAAAAATATTAAAAGTCATAATGATTGTACACATTCAAAATAACAAGACTCCGTGATGTGACACTTGAATGTAACTTGAAATAGACATAATATATATGTACATCTAACATACATATTGTTTTCCGTGTTTTTTAAACGAATGGCATTGCATAGTTTAATACAACTGTCTGGAGTTGGAGTGAAAATGTCATCACTATATCTATTACATGTAATAAAATTGGAGTCTGTAATATCAGATTTCGGGAAGATGATGTATTTGCTTTACTGATAACAAAAATCGCATTTAATTTTGTTTTGTCTGTCTGTCCGCAAGCCGCGTTTCTTTCGGGTAATCTCCGAAACAGCTGGACAGATTTCGAACGGACTTTCACTGTAGGGTAGCTAATATAGACGGGTATGTTATAGGCTACTTTTATCTTAATATTGCGTGGACGAAGTCTCGGGCAACAGATAGTTTAATTCTAAAGTGATAGCTACTAGTAATACGTAAGTATATTTATAAATTAAAGTTGTAAGTAAAAAATAAACAAGGCTTGTACACAGTAGGCGATGTCCAAAGCCGTGTAATTAGAGCATCCTCTGTTACGCAAGGCTACGGCGATTGCCAGACGCTACCCGCGCCCTCGCCGACGCTACTGCAATTGCACCACGCTACGTTCGAATGCGTATTGTTTTGTAAACTTATCTCGCATCTTGATGTATGGCTAAACAATCGAAGAGTTCGTGCATGTCGAAAGGTCCCTTATTTGTGTACTTGATATGTTAATCGTCTATTTCCCGTTACGTAGTACTCAATTTTAAAGTATTAAAGATATACAGGATAAAATTACTATTTTATTTCGTAGAGTTAATTACCAACAGGTGGTATTATTAGACTAATTTAGCTCTTATAAAAAGAAGAAGCAGACATAAATTATCTTTTACTTTGAGCACTCCATTAGATTTGGCTCGTCGTGGGAGTGTGTAAATTTTTATTACTATTTTGTATGAAATGAATGCACTTGAAATTATACCTTATTAATATTGCAATGAGATTCATATTCTGATCTCATCGATTATAAAAGATTTTGAATATTCAATAATACCTGTTCGAATGGCTTTTGAGGCAACCGGATCGGCGAGAAACCAGTAAACCGTATTCATAAGAGCAAGGTCAATATCCATAAATATTTCCTTTCATCCGCTTAATATGCATGTGCATAATTTTTGCGGATAAATTTTAGAAATTAAGGAACATATTGCAACATTTTTCTAATAGTTATTTTGTAAAATAAATCAATGTTTTATAAGTATTTTGCAATTTATTAGTGACTTTCGAACCCGTGACTTCATTGGCACGCGACATTTACGAGCGGCTCGACTAACGTCATAGACATTCACAAAAGCCGAGGACAATGTAACGTGTCTATTCTACAGATATTACTTTGATCAGATATGACTTTATATACGCAAAGTCACTATTTGACTTTAAAAAACATTTGCAGTTTCTCTATGTTTGTACGTGAAACAAACTCGAGGGTTCCCTGGGGAAACTTGGCGCGACTTTTCTCACACAATATACAAAGCTGGCATTTTGTGTCACATAACATAAGTAGTAAGTTATCAAATGTTAGACTGTGTATAACTTAGTGCGTGTCTAACATTCAATTAGCTATGAATAATTATTATTTTTTAAATTTAATTCTGATTAGGTTGTTTGAAAAATCAACAAATATACTTAAAATGAAACACTGGTTCCATAATATTCGATGAAAAGAAAATTATAATAAGAAAAGTAGCGTGTGCATTAAAAATCTTTATGGTTTGTATAAATAGCAGCATTAAAAAGAAATTATATCGCAATGAAATGTTTAAGAAGTCTTTATCTGATGACGGAGATGCTGTTTGTTGGCGCGCGTCCGGAAATTACGTCCGCTGGGACATTATCAAGATAATGTGTCACAAAAATATGCAAAGCTAAGTGATAAACGAAACTAACTTGATTATGACCCTTTACATCTCTCTTATCACGAAAATTCTATTCTAGGAATTAATTTAATTTAACTTAACTTAGTCTTCTTATGTTAGCATTAGAGTATAGAATTACACGGTTCAGCTTAAGTACTATCTAAACAATTCTCTGTGAGAAGAAAAGAAATGATGTTAAAATTTTCATGGAGAAAAACATAATTTAATCTATTCGATGTAACATTCTGCCTTGACGTCCAAAGAATGAAATTTTGAATATTAAAAAATAGCTTACTTAGACTACTTATTTTCCTAACATCTAAACTGTCGTAAATTTAATTGTGGCTAATAATATGCCTTATTTTTAATATGTATGTATTTTGTTATTGTAATTTCTGCATACGAAAATAACATAGAATCGAACTCCAAATGTCATGCTCTTCTAATGTGTGTGAGTGACAAAATTACTCTCTCTAATTCATGTCGAACCACTCTATATCGCGATCCACATAATTTCGATCAACGCCATCTTTTGTTACATCTATACACTTATAGAATACCTATAAAAATAAAATAATACGATCAGATCAATGTATTTGATTGAATAACACAAATTGACGTTACTTTTATTTCACATGTAAATTCTAGGTTGTTTACTGTCTAGAGTCTCTAAAGTAAACTCTTTTAACCTAGATTTAACCTGAAATAAAATTCAAGAATGCGATAAAACAACGTGACCTGCCTGATCAAGGTGGGCGTCGGCGCTATGACATCAGACATTCGCCATGGCTGACCAACAAGACACTCCTAGTGTTGAGAAAATCTTCGATTAATTTAAATTCATTGAATTTTATTTTTACCACATACTAAGCAACAAAGAAATTCCTCTATTTACTCTAAGTTTTTTTTTTTTAAATCAAATGATCTGATAAATTGACGTTGTTTCCAGTCTTGGTTCGCACGTCAACAGCCTTCATTATTATAACCTGTTGGAAATCATTTATGACTCGAAAAAAAATAAATAAATATCTGTATTACATTATTACCGTGAGAACCTTTCTCACTTAACTAATTGATACATAATATTTTGACGTCATTTCCTAATGCTCTGTAGAATATAATCGCAAAGTTATATAATATCCTTGTTTGGTTGTTTTTTCAATTTGAAGTAAATAACGTTAGTTTAGACTGCGTTGGTATTCTTATGCACAGTACTACCCATTTGTGTAATGCATATTCGATTCGATAGATTTGTTAAGCGATAATTTTTTTTTAGATAAAACTTGGATAATTCTTTTCCCATCACTATTGTTTGCGACTGGCTAAACCTGTGAGGTTAACATCCTGTAGCGCCTGACCAATGAGCTCTATTCCAAAATCAAATAACACTAAAATCCAGTTTGCATTGAATGAATCCAATAGTTTGTGTCGTAAACAGATTCCGCTATTATTCGACGACTCTACATCGCATCTTTAAAACATGATATTGCATGTTTAAATTTATCTCACAACAAACCTATCAATTTAAAGGAATGGGCTGTTGACCTATTTAAGCACAACGCGGTCGGGTCTCTAGTTCAGATACCAAAGCATCTATTAAGCCACATTGCATCCAATGATATTTGAGTATCATATTGATTGAACACATACGTGTTCGTATGAATAATAATGTGAATTCCCACACACCCATTATAATCAGAGATCTCAGTTTTTGCGACGAGTGTTTAAAAAAAACGTGAGCAAAAAAGCAATGACAACTACGAAAAAACAATGTAAAATCATCGCCAAAACTTGACGACACATTAATACCTAATCTCAGGATATTGAAGAGTTAAGTTCATTATTTGTAAAAATCTATTTATATATTAATTAAAGGTGTTTCGTAACGAAATGGTAATATTTTTGACAACGTCCTTCCTTGTCTCAGCCAATGAACCCAAAGAGTTTGGATAAAAAAGGTTATAACAAAAAAACAAGCTTGTCTTTCGCTTCAGACAAAATCAAATCTAAATAGACTGGAATGATCAGTAACCGCGGTCAGAGACTGTGGGACCATTGCTTTCTCTCCGCTCGCACACCCAGCCGACATCGAACTGTTAATAATATTTATCTATTAGGTGGTTTTAATAACGGCTTTAGATATCGTGATTTTATTTTACCCGCAAATACTAACTTCTTAATATGATGATATGATTGTTAAAGATCTGCAGATTCGTAATCAATAAATTAAACAGACTAATATTACGATATCAATTGCATTATTGAAATAAAAGAAAAGATAACCTATCATTTACAATCAGGACTACTATTACTACTAGTCCTAGTAATATAGTAGTCTCATAATACTGCAAAAAGGTTAACCCTTTACTATCTATACAATTTCAAAGCAAAAACATATGTTTTCTGTAGTTAAAGTTTACTTTCCTCTGTACTTTAATACAACGCAACACAAAATCGTCGTAAAATATTAGTTACTAGTGTAAAATTGTGTGAATATAATATACAAGATTTACATTAACCCTTCCTTAATTGCCTTTTAAATCTTGCCCTAGAAACGCAGCAACCTCAGATACACAGCTGATCACCTTGTCGTACTTTACATCTTTAATCGATTCTACAATTATATGAATATTTATTAATCGATTCGTATTAAATTTATGATACTTACATACAAATGTAAAACACACACCATTACGTAAATGACAATGTTATTGTAATACAATTTAAATCACGATCACACAACATGAAGTCGAGTGCTTCACTAACTGGATTATTATTATTATGAATGTTGACAATAAGTGCGAGCCACTGAATGCAACCACTTCAATCATTATTGTTCTTACTGACAGGTAATCATCAATAGTAAGGATCTATTTGTTATCAATACATTCTGTTATGTCGAAAATAAACAGAACCATGAATTGGGAACTGACTACACAAATTGAAGTGCATTTGTACGAATAAAGTGTATTTTTATGGATTCTCGTGCGTTTTCATGATTAATAGCATAATCAAAATATTAAATACGTGAATGAAAGCGTTACAATTGCAGAAAGTCTGAAATATGGGATATCAAAATGTAAAGGCGGGCGGGAAAAGGAAAACAAGGGAAGTGTATTGACGGGCGGCGGGTCGTCGTGCCAAGCGAACCATGCGGTGCAGGACGCGGGGAGCGGGGCAAATCGGCCGGGACGCCAGGGAACGCACACCCCGCGCCCTTAATCGTATTTCACGCACGCTGCGTCGCGCCCGACCTCACCCTTCCAGATTCAAACCCGTAAAAATACCTGAACTGAGCGTCCACCACCATTGTTTACATGCCAGAAAAAACGATCAACACTTACCGAAATATGATGACGATCGCTTAAAAAAATATATGAAGCGTAAAATAGTTATACACGTTCACTGAGAGTTCCGTAGCACTATTGACGGTTAAAGTTAAAACATGTTCACTCGACGGTCGGCGGTCGGCGACGGAGGCGGCGAGGTGCGAGGCGCAAGGCGCAAGGCGCGAGGTGCGAGGTGGCGAGGCGCGAGGCGGATAGAATGGTCGCGTTCGCGGCGTGAGGCTGTGAGCGCACGGTGCAGCGAGCAGCGAGCAGTTAGCGGCGGCGTCGCGACGTCGGCGGCGCACAGCGGAGAGTGCGCGCGCGCTGGCGCCGGTGCGGTGGGGCCGACCGGTCGCAACCGGGCCGCGCTCTCACCGCCGCCCTGCCGCGCCGCGAGCATTCGCCGCACTTGACACCGTACCGCGTTCCATCTCGAAGAAAGTTTCACATTCTATGCCGCCAGACACGAAAAACTTTGACGACCGAATATCACTTTCGAACTCGGACGCGACCGTTCGACTGACAGACTGAAGGCTCGAAGCCGGCGAACGATTTTAATTCGATTAGATCACACGGTCGCACTTATTGTGTTGGCTTCGGTGTTGTCGGTACGGATCTGACTCCGTGTAAAACGAGTTAAACTGTCTATAACTTTCCAATAGCCAGGCTCCTGTTATGTAAAGATAAGAAAGGTTGACGAGCCTAAAGGAAGAGAAAGTGATAATGCAAATTTCTCGCACAAATACAAAGTTGCCATCAGTTAACACTTGTCTCGAATAGCATAAATGAGACACAATCGTCTTTAATTCAATTACGTTAAGAAACATTACTAAAGCATTTACACATTATAAAGATTTTATAACATAAATTACTTACGATACCGAATGTTAATATGAGTAAGATACATTACGATTCATTTTTACATTGTAGTTTTATTGCAGAACGCTGTAGCTAATTACAAGTGAATTTGAAAATCAGTTTTGATGAATGTAACAGCGAACATGGACTTGTCAAGCGTGACGATCTCATGGTCGCTGTAAATCTTTACGAAATCTTTAACTGTATTCGTCGAACTCTAAAAGAGTCAAAAGTCAAGAATGACCATGTCTTAAATACGAGTATAACAACTTTAAAATTAATACCGAATACGCTAGGTATTAATCTGGGATTTGAACCCTGGACATGTGGCGTTACTCACGCTACAGATAGATACTACTACTCTATTCTACAAATGATCTATCCAAAATACGATTACTCATTTAGTCCAAAAATAAGCAAATCCTTGGTGTGTATTTAAAGCGTAATTACGTAGCTCAGTTGTACGGTAGAGCCACATTTTTCTCATTTCAGGTTAATGAAAAACACCGCCTTGTACCATACCGAGTAAGAAGTTCACCTAATTACGTTCGCCGAAGTAACACAAACCTACCTGTAAAAAACCTTCGCCCGCTTTAAGAATTACAAGCACATTAATTATGGATAGATTCTTTCTTAAACAGTTTGTGCGAGCTATAACTTGGAATTAATTAAAAAAGGGACATTAATTTAAAAAATAAAAGGTTTAGTATAGAATAACAAAAGCGTTTAAAAATTATTGAAGACGTATTCGATATTTTAAGACTTTCCAAAATTACACGCTATTTTGGTCACCCTGTATAAATTTATAATTTAGAGGATCTACCTTATCGTTTTTCACTTGTTTATTTAGCTCCGAACTCGGCAAGCTCCGTACACCGGCATACATTTTAGAGAGTAATTTATGCAAATGTAAAAAAAAACGAAGTAAACAAATTGTGTTTCTGCAACAAGCTAAACGTTATTCGTAAAATATATAGTAAGCAAGCGTTCAACCTACTTTAATAGGTGAATTTGGAAGAATACTCTGACAAAGTAATGAGAAAATTGTGCACATGTGCGGTACAGGATGACATCAATTCGTGTTTTTAAGTTATAGCCTTTAAGTAGATTTTTGACGTTTTATGCGGGTCGAATCTTATATCCATAACATAATAACAATCGAATTTACAACTTAAAGTTCAAAGGCCAAACATATTTTAAACTTAACAGTACTTAATTATGTCGGGCAAGTAACACCCACTGTAGCAGAACTTCCAGCCTTTAGCAGTGCTCATTAAAACGACCAAGCGAAAGGCTTCCAACAATAGCTCGTTTATTTTACAAACAGGCAAGGATGCTCCGTTTCTGCTAAATATAAAACACTATCGATGTAAGTCCCTTGAAAAATGTAAGTAGAGACGCTAACCTTATTCAGTAATGTTAAGAAAATTCACAGCTGACTACGTACGAGTACATTGTGTCATGGAACGTAGAGAATTTTATTGGTATGTTATGGAATTAATATTTTAGATGTTTGACAAATAAGTAATATTGTATAATTATTGCCACACTCAGAGTCTATTTAATGGTCACTGACGCAGTCATTTAGTTAGAATTCTCTACTCTAATATGAAGATCACATTTTAGCCACAAATTTTTAGTTGAAAGTGCGATACGAATGTAGGAAAGCATATCATAACAATGGAGAATTACGGACTTAGTGTGCGATTCCAGAACACGATTGCATTCTCCTGTTTTTTTTTGTTTTTGTCTTTTAAATGCGGCGATGACGTGCGCCGAGTGGCCAGCAAGGTCAGCAAGAGCAAGAAGTACGCACTTGTTAGCCTTATCACATACAAAAACTACTTTTATCGAAGAAGGTTGAGGTTTATAAACCAATTCTGTATAGTTTCTATAAGTAGGTATTTTTTATTACATTTAAGTTTATGAGTCTGGGTGTTGCAGTAATATTTTAATGTTAACGGTTTCGGATTGCATAGAACATTTCTATTGGAAAGTTCACACAGTAAAATAGATGGTCGATTAAATCTAATAAACTTTTGTTGCCATAGAGTTATCGTTTAATTGGTCACGAATTGTTAAATTCGTTATTTCAATTTATCGAAATGCATTTGACGACGAAATAAAAAGTTATATGTTTATTGAACTACTGCGAAGGAATATTAAATACGATAAAAGAATATGTTTGAACATAAAATAGGCTTTGTAATAAGATACTAGGAACGCAGAAGACTCTCTCTAATGTGACCCTAAGTTTATTACGATTTCGTTATAGACTTTCATCAAGATGTGTTTCAAAAGTCATTCGTATTCTAAGTTTTTCACGTGTTCCTATATTATACAAATAATACTTATACATATTGTATTATGCAAATTAAAATATTACAATTATAACATCGAACCATCTTAGTTATTACATAAGAAAAAGACATTATATTCCGTCATAAAACAATGTTTGTAACAGACATAATATGTTATTATATGTAGTGAATATTTTCTTTTCACTTTCCACATTCTTTTACAATACCAACACAATACTTTCATTTTATCATCACACAAAAGACGGTGAGAAAATGTCACGGCCTTATAAATATTATTGTGCGCTTTTATTACAATTAATGCATTTAAAATTAATTTAATTTCGTTCCACAGATCCAAAACAGCACAAGACGTAACAGTACACGACTTTAGAATACAATTTTATATTCAAATTCAAAAAGTATGTAATCACAACAACAGCACTCAGAGTTAGATTTCTTACACAAAATCTACACTAAGTGACTCTAGGTTACTATTGAACTAGTTAGAGTAACTAAACGATTGGGCAATGCAGAAATTTGTTTGAATATTTATAACTCCAATTAGTAACGATTTTTGTTATGCAAACAATGTTAATATATTTTTTTTATCAAAATTCTTGTTACTCTCATCAACGGCTTAATTGAGACCGAATTGATCACCGAGCGACGAACCGTCATCAATATGCAATCAGGGACCTAAACGTCGTCTCTAATGATAGGTAGCCCTTAAATTGGATATTTATTACACGCCTAAGACATTAGAACAACGCTACAGCATCCATTATTAAAATGAAATCCATACATACTGTAATAATCTCGTCTGAGATTATTTATATATCAATGTTCCTCAATAGCCTCGATCATCAAGCATTATCTTCTCTATCATTCTCTAAGTCATACTTTCAACATTTTCATCACAATCATATAGTTCTCTTTATCTCATACGGCATGCCCATCCAAACCAAAACTTTAATTACAAGTAGTATATGAATGAAGTAAGCAGAAAGCCGTATGAATTGTTACTAAGAGCAAAAAAGAATTCTGTCTCGCAAATGCTTACTTTCAGTCAATTAAGGACGTATTGTTTAACTAGTTTTCATTCATCCTTATCGTAGCGTCGTAAAACGGCATTCGTTCCACATGGTGCAGGAAGCGCCGCGAGCGACGCTAACCGCCGGTAATTGGCGGTTTTGCTATTTCATGTCGATGTCGATAAACATCCAGCAAATATGTACACGCTCATTACAGCTTTTTATGCGATTTATTCCTTTCATTTAATATTAAGTGATTGTACACACACGAGCGATGGTGCATTCGAGTTTTATATCTTTAGAAAACCCGAAGTAAAAAATGTATTTTTAAAGGCTTTTAGTTGGAATACCTGATACTAATAATCGACTGTGGTTGATCGGAGTAATTTATAACTAAGTATGTAAAATCGTTATTATAACTTTGAAATGATAATTTAAAAAATCTAGAATTTTGATTTAGTTGCATTGAACTGATACAGAAAAAAAACAATTTTTGGAACACGTAAACGTCAGCATACATTTTAATTGACATGCAACAATTTAGGTGACAGGCACGTTATGATTGACCAAGAAATATCGTGTAGGACACGCATAAGCAAAAAATGTGGGTGAATTAGTTGAAATGTTAAATTTCGCAGAAGCGTGAAAAAGTGTTACAGTTTCGATGGTCGATATCGTTGTGAAACGTTGCGGGAATGCGCTAATAATCACTAGCAGGCTGGCGCGGCCTGCAATGTGCAATTTGCTCACAGCTATCGCATAGTCACGCGATGGTCGACCTACCCGCCTTCCGTAACCGTCCCTGCGTAAGTAATTGTAGTAACCTTTTGTACTTTTTTAGCCAGTAACTCGCACTTAAAGTACCCCATGTATTATTACACACACCTTGATCAAATGCATAATGTTGATTTATAGGGTGGCACTTTGATTTTTTTTTACCTTTTTCTTTGATCTTGCAAACCTAATGTTCGAAAGTTGGTACGATTGTTATAGGGCGATTATTGTTAAAGAAGTAATGACACTTAGCTATATCACAGATAACTTGTCTAGTGCTCATGTAAGTGTTCAAGTATCCAATGCTCTTATCGGACTAAATGCGTCAATGTCACAGAAAACAGGATTATGTAACAGGATTACATAAGGAACACTCATGTCGGCTTATTCTTACTTACCACATGGAAAAGTAAATAAGCATTGATTGACAATTTTTTTAATTAAAGGCAAATTATAACCTTCTTCAAGTACCTGCTCAAGTATGCTATTGGTTTTTGAAATAACTTTTTTAATTTGTATAATTAGAAGCGATTGGTTTATAAGCCTTCTACAATTAATTGGAAATCTCTTCAATTTGCGTGCTAGTTGCTAAATTATTTTATTTGTCTCTTTCAACCTTATTTCAATGGAAAAAAAAAACATTTGTTATCACTTAATATACAAAAATGGGCTTTAAGTAAATGGTCTTGATGTTCCGTGATAGAGATATGAAGAAAATCTCATTTCGCAGCTATAAAATTTTCTTAAAAATGATTTCTAAGAAAAATTCTCTCGCCTCGCCTTCTTTGTATAGACGCGGCCATTTTGCTCATTTAGTGTCGGATTTTCTTTAGAAGACGCCGCCTAAGGTCCCATATGCGCGCGAAATGAAATAGTTTTTACATGCATTAGCACTTATCGTTGTGTGAAATGTGAAAAGTATTACGTTCCTTTTCATACATTGTTTAGTTCTGCGCGTGATTTCGTTACCATTTTATTGTATTTTCGTTTTTGATTTAAGAGCATAGTTGGGGTTAATGGCTATTTCGTGTTGCTAACGTATCGAAATTGACGTAGCTATTTGTTAGCCGTACAACTGTTCTAAGGCGTGACTTTGTAACACTTCGACACTTGACATCGATTATTTTATCCTTTCACCAATGTATTCGTCTAGTTATTATAAATTACCCCTTAACAGAAACATTATTCAACATAATTATATTTCTTTAAATATGTTAATTATATTTGTATAATGATGTAAAAAAATATATTTCTAAAATTATATTTGAATTGTAATATTGTATGTTTGTATAAATAAATAAAATATATAAATAATTTATATTCAATGTAAATCTTTCATATTTTTTATGGTACTCTACAATTTATCTATAAGATTTTTTGAAATTTCGATTTTCATCCCACAGTTGCGTACCTCTTGATGGTTGCTAAGAAAATATACACTTATTCTGTCTTTAGAAATGTGATTTAATGTGTACAATCTGGCATATAAAAAATACTAAAAGCGACGCATCAAATCTATTACGCCCACTCACTTATACACCATTTAACTTTTAACCTTTTCTCCTGACATTTCACTTATAGAAGTGATTTTGTTTCGCCTAGTTTTCTAGCAAATGAACCGCTTTTATTCTTGATGTCTATTCAACGAACTCCTTAGAGTTCGCGGGAGTTTCGCAAACTTCCTGTTTCAAGATATATTCGCCTTAAACCAATATTCGTATGCAGAATAGTGAAATAGGAATGGCATTGTTTAAAGCAGCCATTGTACTCCGTAGTATAAATTAATCACCAGCTTCAAACTACTAATGGATGCTGAGGCGACGCCGAATGCTTGTATAGTTAATGCCTTGCTACAAATTAAAAACAAATCTGCAAACTCCTTTCTCGAAGCTCTTTTAAAATGGAGGTTAACTTGTTAACTTCAATCACACCCAGAGATAAAAAAATATCCTTATAAATGATATAAAGTATATTAACTCCGTAATCATTTCCTTGTGTAAGTGATTTCCTAGGTACTTCTTGTTACGGAGATAAAGATTTTTTATACGTTGTATTTTTGTTCAGAAAATATCTCGAGTGAATTACTGCCAAATAAAGGCCAGAGTACTTAATTTGATTGAATTATGGTTTTAAATTTCTTAAATATATTTACAAGGTTGTTGTACAACACGTATGTGTAATGGAAGCACATTTAATTGAATTTAATCGAAGTGTAGATGGACGACGAGAGTTTTAATATACAGAGGCTTGTCATCTAGCGTTTCCAAGAGAGGCGAGAGAGAGAGTTGAAAATTCCCGGTTATTGGGTAACTTGCAGTGTGTGGGGTGCGCGGTACGGGGTACGAGGTGCCGGGGCGAGGCGATCGGGGTGCGGGGCGCTGACGAGGCGCCTCATTGATCGCGACCCGCGCAGCATCCCCGAGCCCGCGCCGCACCGCAGTCCCGCCGCCTACCCTCTATACAACCACAAA